ACCTTTAAGGGTAGCACGTTGTGTTAGCGCCCTGACAACAAATTTAAGAGAGGAAACACCCAAAACAGCACTCTGTAGAGAATTGGACTTAACCAATCAAAGAAATTCCACACCTAATCCAGCAACATGTGGAAAGGCACATACAGTACGTGTTTCCGTGTCGCTTGCATGGATAATAAAAAATCGATTTTCACGGCGTTGCTGGCATACCGAGTTAAGCAAACTTCTTGCCTAAGTTTGACGCATATATGCCCATGTGTAGCGCTAAGCCTACCTTTTTGTCGGCATTACGGTGTCAAGGGGGGTAGTATTAGAATTGGAAACAAATCGTCCAGTCAGAAATGTTGTAGAAATCTAAATGAAAACAAAAGAAAATCGAGAAGATTAGATCGCTGAGACAACACTTTTATTCGCCTGATGTTTCGACATCCGTCGCGGGCCCTTCATCAGAGACATAAGCAGAAAGCAGTGGCAGAAGCAGGTATATAACAAGCATGTATGTTGCGTGATCCGCAAAATATGTGCATATTTGCTACGCAAAAATGGTTCTTTGAGCAACGTCATTAAGATGTCGAGAACGGATTGCGTCCTATGAATACTCTCCTTGCGTTCCGATTGACCAGTCGCGAAATTGATCACTACTCATTCAGCCGGTCCTGTTTTTCGTGTTCACGGCAGCTCTTCCTGCTAGTCAAGTTGCAGCACCTTCATAAACGTGTGACCAAGGATGCGCTCCGAGTCCGTTTTCACCGCTCCAATACTCATTAGTTGGCAGACTAAGCGTCATCACCTGCTATAGTCGACGAGGTTGACTCAGAACATGGCCGAGCTATCTCAGCGGACGAGTAACGAGGGCATAGTTGGTCGGTTGTTTTATTTACAGATGGCATAGTCCTTCCTTGTGGCTGCGCGATAGTCAAGACGAATTCGAAGAAGAGAACGCATGCAGAATTGTTCATCAAGCTTATACTTAAGGTATGAAATATGTTTTACGTCCATGTATAAGAAGTTTTGGACGTGGATCTTGTGTGGTCGCTGTTTGCTCTTCATGCGCCAGATGCTCAATGACGTCGAAGGCCGTCAGCACTAGGCTGGTCAAGATTTATCCTCACCTTGTCTGCCTAACAGGAAATTCGGCCCGTGGTGGTGGTCGTATACCGGCCAAAGTTTTCGCCTGCTCCCATGATGGGACAGAATAAAGTCGACCGTAGAATTCGAGACGACCGGCTTCGTTTTAGTGGGGCAACGGTGCATGATTAAGAGCGTAGTTAATTGTATTGTTAAGCAGAGTTATTAAAGGAACGCCGTAGTGACGAACGACGGAGGTGACTTCAGAGAAGTCAGTCTTCATATCTTGCCCGTCGACCTTGATTCTGACGAATTGAGGCCAATGTTCGCATTCCAGGTATGTGTATAGGTAGAGAAGAAGAAGAAGACGCGTCAATAACCGGAATCATGGTTTTATTCGTCTGAGCTGCTAACCTTTGTGGCAGGTCATGAGGGGGCTGGCCCAAACCACTCTCAATCCCTTTGTATAGAGTTGGACGCGCAAGTGAAAACCTAGACATATGAAGGTGTGTTGTTAGCAATATTGATAGTATAGGAGGATTCATTGCGACCTAATGTGTGAAATTATTAATACTGAGAATAATAATAATAAATTTCTGTATTTAAGCACTTAAATGACACCAACGAAATAAGACTTCCGCCACTCTGACCATAGGCCGCACCGATTGTCTTTACTTCGCATATTTTTGAAATCAGGAAGCCGTGTAACCAGTCGGCTTATACGGCCGGTGATCACGCATGCATACATGGCCGCTGGTAAAGGCAAGGTAGTCATGGCGCAGGAACCAGCACACTGTGTACTTTTGCAAGTTTCTATCTGCAAATCTTGGCCCGCTCTTGTGAGCATGCAATTAAGGCTCACTGTACGGGAATTTTTTGTTTGCTGAAACGAGTTTGTATGGTAAAGGTCCGGCGGTTTATAACTGGTTTTTATTTCAAATCCTACTAATCATATTTGGATGATGTGTAATCTAATTTTACGGTTTTTTCAACGGTCCAAACCTCTTCATACATATTTACCTTTGAAATCACAAGCAGTTTGTCCTTAGGAATAACCTTGGGCCGTTTGAAAGCACAACTGGTTGACTATTTTAACCAATTTGACCTCCGTATGCAACGCAAAGTCTTCTTCCCTGCGTTTTTCAAACTTACCCTGAATGCGGGTTAGTGAAATATTGCCTTTATTGATTTTTACTTCAACTGCAGACGTTGATTGATAAAGGCCACTACTGTTTAAAACAAGGGCGCCCTGTCAACTTATGTTCGAATTTATTTCTAATGAGCAGGCTAGCCTATCGTGTGCCTCCTACTCTTCTCAGTCCCCTCATTTTGGATGGCAGGGCAAGGTCAGACGACCGGAAATGGACGTGGATTCCGCGTTAGAC